CCTCCAGAGTTTAGATCAGTGTTGCTGAAAGTGTTCCATGGGACTGCTTTGGGAAAGCTGGTAGCGGGCTCACGCCACTTTGTTTACCTAAAGGACCCATAGCCACAGAGCCTTGGGGCTCCCATTGGCTCTTGTTTGACATTTCCAGCCAAGGGGAACATCAGGAAATGCTGTGGCCTGGGCTCCTGCTTTCCGCAGCTCCTCTTGGCTGGAAATGACGAGCCGGAGCCAATGGGCACCATGAGGGTCTGTGGCTGTGGACCCTTTAGGTAAATAAAACAGCATGGGACCACTAGCAGCTTTCCCAAAGCAGGCCCATAGAATACTTTGAGCAACACTGGTTTAGATGGTTAAAAATTCATGAGTAAGAGGAATGATTAAGTAGTATTGGACCAGAGCCAGATATTATTGTGAAACTGGATGTTTCACACCCAGGACCAGTTTGTTTAGAAATGTCCATTGTTTCCATAGTCCTGTAGCACAGCTTGATATGTTCTCTTTAGACCTTAGTGATGACATAATGGAACCTCACGTAGATCACACACGTCCTTGCCCCAAGAACATGAGCAATTTCCACCAGGGTACCATGATGACTTAACTCTGAGCCATTGTTTCCCTAAACAATTGTTCATAGCCTCAATAGTAAGGTCTTCACAAAAGTGTTGGATTAAGGCCACATTTATCTAGGTTATGTCTGTGCTCAATAGTGGTCTTGCCTGAGGAAGGACAGCCGTACAGAGTCCATAGTTCCCAGAGAAAGAAAGTCAGTTGTCTTTTTGAGCACAAGCCCCAAATAACATTTTAGGCAGTAGAACAGTTTTTAGGGTCACTTTATCCTCAGGGTAATGCTGTTCTTAAAGCACAGACTGAGTAGCTGACTGTGCAGTGGGGGGATCTGAAGCACAGATGGTTCTCCCCTCTGGCCTAGCTAGACTGTGGAATCGAAGCAGCCTCCATGACTGGTATCCTCCCATTTTGAGAGTGGGGAGGGTGGGGGAATGGAAAGTGGCTCATTAACCAGTCTCCCTTCCTGGTCCACCCCCAAATCCACTTTCTGCACTTAGACCCTGCACTGTGCTCCATAATGTGCTCCATAACGGGCCCTCTTCATGGGTTCCCCAAATTGTGCAACAGAATCAAATCAGCTGCACTGTGGCCAGAGGAAAGGGACAGGAGGAGAAGTATTTAAAAAGACAAGAATTTTCAGTAATGAAAATAATCTGCCATAATTTTTAAGGTGATCAAATTCATAACATTACTGTGACAAAAGAACAAAAAGCTGGAGGGAGACACGGTATTTTGTTTGTCCAGGAGCTATGGAGTTAACAACTTTCCTCTTTGTTTTCACCAGGGTGACTCTCATATCACAAATGTCAATATTTCAGGTGAAATATGTGGCTCAGAACTTTGCATTCAGGTAGGCTCTACTGATTTGCAGATAGACTCTGTACTAAATAAACAAACTGGTGTGAAATAAGAACCTGCGGGCAGTGTCACAGCTGCCTCCTCCCAGCCAAATGTGATCATGATGCAGTTCGAGGTTGCAAAGAGCATTATTAATAGCTTGAATATGCTGCTTGTCCCTTGCTGAACTTGTAGTCATTGTTTTAGGTAGAGACACATTCTTGAGCTCTTATTTTTGTAGATGGCAAACAGTGGACTTCTAAGGTTGTTAAATTAATCCCTCCTTCTAACCTTTTATAATGAAAAGATGATAGAAGGGCAAAAGGAAGAGACACATAAATGTACTAACATTTTCTGAAAAACAAGTCTAAGCGCTTAGCAGAAAATAAGAGCACATTCAGGCATATATATGCAGTAGTAAACAAGGAGACATGAAGCTTAATAGCTGACCGATACATATTTTAATGACCATTACTGAAAACAGAGCTGGGCAAATAGTGTACAGAAATGTCAGCACATAGCTGTACTATTCTTTATAGAAAATAAATGTGAAATGCAAAGAGTTGATTCCACATGGAAAGGAGTGTTACATGTGCTTTGTGAGAGTATTTGCATCAGAAACTTAAGGAATATTTTTATTGTTATTTTATAGCAGCCAAAAGTATGCTGGGCACTTTGTAAAATAAAAGAAAAACAATCACATTTTTTTAAAAAGAAATCATCCTGGGGGGAAGAGGGAAGGTGCTGCGCTCCAATGTTCTGGCCACAGACCTGGCGCACAATTGTTGCTTTCTGCCTATAGTCAGAAACTGAAAGTGACAAGAGTCATCTGGAAAGGCAGCCAGAGAACCCTTATTTTCTTGTAACATTTTCAATTTTGCAAATGAGGCATTATGCACCAGCAAATCATTCTGACAGAAAATTCCCTAGTAGCTATGTCTCCTATAACCTTAAAGTAACAAAGAGTGACACGAGTATAAGCAAGGACTGTCAATTTGCTTGTGTTAATGCCTGTAATTAACGCAGGGCAGGTTAACACATTTTTTTTAATGCGTTAATCGCAGACCTTAGTGCTGCACTGCCCCTTTGAAGTGCTGCTCCTGCACTTCAAAGGGGCAATGCAATGCAGAGCCCGGGATCAGCTGGGGAGTCCCCAGCTGACTCTGGGCTCCACTGCCCCTTTGAAACACATGGACTCCATCTCTGTGAGTTTCAAAGGGGCAGTGAGTGGAGCCTGGGATCAGCTGGGGACTCTGGGGAACTGCTGCACGGAACCGGGGTCAGGTGGGGACTCCCCAGTTGATCCCGGATTCTGGGGAAATGCTGCTGGGAACCCGGGATCAGCTGGACAGTCTGCAGTTGATCCCGGGCTCCATGGCAACTGCCCCTTTGAAATGCCAGAGATGGTGTTTTAAAGGGGCAGCCATGGAGCTCAGGGTCAGCTGGGGACTCCTCAGCTGAACCTGGGCTCTGTGGAAATGCTGTCAGCTGGGGACTCCCCAGCTGACCCCGGGTTCCACTGCCCCTTTGAAACAAGTGTGATTAATCGCAATTAAATTTTGTAATTGCTTGACAGCCCTACTATACACTAAACCACTGAACAATGCTTTGGTTTTCAATAAACCAAAAAGCTGTTTATTTTGCCAAAACAAATTATCATTAACAATATCGTTAAGAGGGAAATAACCACTTTTTCTTTCATTTAAAAGGGCTGGAGGACAGATGTAGATTATTCTGTTCCACTGCAGATCTGCGATATCAAATGCAGTAAGTACTAATAATGTCACATGGAAGATTAGCTATTGAAATAGAGATGGGTTTGGCACCAGAATCACAGTGTCCTGGCACTAACACAACAGTACTTGTCCTTCTTGGGCTATGTCTACACTACAGAGGGTTTTTTTTTGGAAAAACAGCTGTTTTTCAAAAAAATCTTCAGTTACATCCACACTGCAATCGTGTTCTTTTGAAAAAAAAGGAAAGAACAGAAGGGTTTTTCCGATAGTGGTAATACTCTTGCTACGAGGAAGAATGCCTTTTCCGAAAGAGCTCTTTCGGAAAAAGGCATGTGTGGATGGGGAAAAGGGTTTTCTTTCGAAAGAAGATGCCTCGAGGAAAAAGCACGGGTGCCCTGGTGGCCATTCCATGCACAGTAATCACAACTAAAATGTGAGATAGTGTCTAATCAATCTGGACACTATCTTTCGAAAAAGCACATCGCTTTTTCGTTGCACTTTGGCAGTGTGGACGCTCTCATTTGAAAGAAGTTTTTTTGGAAGATCTCTTCCGGAAAAGCTTTTTCCAAAAGAAGCCTGCAGTCTAAATATAACCTGGGTTGCAGAATTCAGGGTCAAATCCTGCTCTACTTACTCCGTGAGTAAAGAAAGAGAAAGGATGATGTTGTGACTAAGGGTGTGCCTACACAGCAGTCTAAACTTGAAATGAGATATGCAATTTGATATACGCAAATTGCATATCTTATCTCGAATCTATTTCAAAATAGCTTATTTTGAAATTTGGCGTGTCTATATAGCACCAAATTTTGAAATAACATGCTATTTCAAGCTATCCCTTATCCCTTGTGCAATGAGGTTTACCAGGATGGCAAAATAGAGTGCTCATTATTTCGAAAGATATTTTGAAATAATGGGCAGCTTGTGTAGATGCAGAGTAGCTATTTTGGGATACCTCCAGTATCCCGAAATAGCTGTGCAGTGTAGACGTACCCTAGACATAGAACTAAAATTCAGTAAACCTTCTAGGGTAAATTCCCAAAACGGACTTTCTGTGTGATTCTGGCCATGTCATTTAATCTCTCTGTCCCTCAGTTCCTCATTTGTACAAAGGGGATAATATCAGTTCCCTGTCTCATGGAGGTGTTGACAGGATAAGTTTATTAATGGTTTAGAAAGTTTTCAGCTACAGGGATGGGCTTAAATGTGTGTAAGTTTATGTCCTAGCAATGAACAGTAGTGATTTGAGATCAGGGCTCTCTGAAGGGACATCCCCAACACAGGAATTTTGGATCTGAGTCACAAGAGAAGCCCTGACCTGAGAATTCGAGGAGCAGTCAAACTGAGAAGAAGGCTCCACTAGACTTTGTCATCTTTTCAGTCACTTGCTTTAATAAAATCAAACCATAGGACAGAGATGAGGGTTGACATCATATAGGGCCTATGGACTGTTAAACATAGATGGGAACATCACCTGCTCATAAGATCCTTTGAAAGCGTAGCTTTAGATACATAATTCCTTGTACAAATTTTGTTTATGCCGGAAAAGTACTTTCATAGTTCTCACATGCTTAATGAAGTCTATTACTTACAAAGTCAGAGCCTGTAATTTTAGCCTTGTGACAAAGCTCTGAGGGAGCGCTTGAATGGGATTTGGTAATTCATTTTCTTTAAAAAATACTATACCACATGAAGTCAAACACTGACAAACATTCAGCACTTTGTCTGAGGTTATCAGGATATAACTGCCCAGGATGTGATAAAAGCATATAAAATAATGATGGTTAGTAAAGGTGGATTGGGAGATTCCGCTCATTCAGTCTTTTATCACATAAGAGCAAAGAGAAATTAAATTGAAAAGTGGGGAATTAAAAACTGATAAAAGGAAACACTTTCCCCAGTGCGATTAAACTATGGAATTAATTGTCACAGGATATTTTTGTTTCAAAGGATTCAACAAGATTAAAAAAGAATGTGTCTGGACATTTATAAGGATATTGAGAATATCCAGTTATAATTAATTCTTCATAGCGGGTGTTAGGTCTTAAAACAGTCTGAGAGAGATCAAGATGAGATTGAAAATGTGATGCTGAGTATCCCACATTTGCCTACTGCAGGGTTTTCTCACCTCCCATTGAAGTATCTGACACTGGCTATTTCAAAAGCAAGATACTGGACTTGATGGATCTCATTGTGATCCAGTATGGCAGTTCCTATTTCCAGCTATTTGTTTGGAGGCCTCAAAAAATGAACTTTGTGGTCTGCAGCAAATGATACAGTTCTAGTGGATAGTCACAATTTAGAAATTCTTTGTTCTCAGATGTGCATTTTCCATAACAACAAATACATTTTCCCCAGCATTATCTTCCCCAAGTGAAGACGATGATGAAAACTCCTTAAAGATCATATTACTGACAGCAATGATTTTAATCCTGCTGACCACGATGACTCTCCTTGGACACAAAATGTTAACAGGTACATAGTGAAGGGGATGGTAATTGGAGAATCAGTCCATAATTTCTTGACAGTCTGGAATATACAATATTGAAAAACAAATGAAAAATAACCACATAAGATGGAAGAATAGTAAAAAGCCTTGCCTAGCCTCCAGAACAAACGTTACCCCATTATCCAGGCCTAGATACCCAAATTATCATTCACACTGGGCTCCTGCTCAAGATAAAACCCTGGGAGAATAGGCATGTTTTGGAACTGATGGTCACTAGATCTGGGCTCTAGGAGAAGAAATGAGGACTAAAGGAGAAGAAATGAGTGCCAAAGCTTGCAGCCTGTAACTGACGATGTCTTCCTGATAACCCCTGCTAAACAAGGGGACTGCTAGCTGAAATGTCCAAGATGGTCATGGGTGCCAGGGTATTCTATGGAGAAGGAGGCAGTCTCTCTAGCAGCTAGTTGAAACAAAACCTCCTTCCAAGTCCATACCAAGAAGTGTATGTCTGCAAAACATCAGGACAATTAGACTTCATTCACTCCTGGAAAGATTCTGATATTCTTAATCACCTTGAATAGCACCTTACTCCAAGTGTAGCCCCATTGATTTCTATGGCACTATTTGTGGAGCAACGTGCTAATCAGTATTTTATTATTGTTTATTATGGCAGTGTCTAAGGATCAATCAAAATTAGACCCCGTTGCACCAGGCACTGTGCAAATACAGTGTAACAGACAATCCCTGCCCTAAAGAATTTATAGCCAAAGACCATGTCTACACTTAAAGCTTACAGCGGCCCAGCCATGCCTGATGCAGCTGTGCTGCTGTCAGAGCACTTGTGTAGCTACATTTTGACGATGTGAGAGAACTCTCATGCTGGCCTGATGAACCCAGCTCATTGAGTGGGGTTAACCCCATTAATTAACCCCATTGATACTGCCCCATCCAGCTGGTAACTACTGCAGGGCTTTTTTAAAATTTGTGGCTCAAGATGCTAGCATGACTTTCTGATCCTTTCCCAATCAGATCACTGTGCAAATATTTGTAAATGATTTTTCATTGTTTGCTCTGACATGGGATTAAGAAAAAAGATCATCTTTATAGTTATATGCCAGATTTACCACATGCATCTTTACAATAAAATTATCACGGACATCTGTAAAAGTGTTGGGTAGCATCAGTCCTCTCAAAATGAAATAACCTAACATTATTTCAGGTTGCAGTGGGGAAGGTCTACATTTTATATTAGGTAAAACTATTTAACTGGGAGGGTGGTGAAGCACTGAAATGGGTTGCCTAGGGAGGAGGTAGAATCTCCATCCCTAGAGATGTCATTGGATGCTTAATTTCTGTCAGCAAGGTACATTGGAAAAAATCATAGCATTATAGAACACTAGGCTCAGAAGTGTCTCAGGAGGTCATCTAGTCTAATCCTCTGCGCAAAGCAGGACAAGCCACAACTAAATCAGCCCAGCCAGGGCTTTGTCAAGCCTGGCCTTAAAAATCTCTAGGGATGAAGATTCTACCACCTCCCTAAGCAACCCATTTCAGTGCTTCACCACTCTCCCAGTTAAATACTTTTACATAATATCCAGCCCTTATATCACAGATATATTTAGTTCATGCTCATGAAGGTTAATTCATTTCCATATTCAAGACATATTTAGTACAGTATATTTTTCATCCGTCATTCAAAATTGTACTCAGCAACAGAATTTAAGAAAATGGGCAGTCAGACCCTCATGTTTAAAAGCATTAGCGAAGATGCAAAACTTCTCTAATTTACATTTCTTTTCCCTTTGGCTGCCGTTTGATTTTTTTCCCCCAGCAAATTAGGGGGTGTGAATATTCCCAATCAGCTACTGTTAAATCATCTTACATTATGATTTATTTCTCAGTTTTTTACAGAAAGAAACATGGAGGCAGCAGTCCAGCCCAGATCATAAGGCAGAGGTAGTCAACAATTATCTTCAATGTACAACATGTCAGTTTTTTAATGTGCATGAGAGATGTGGGATTGACAGTCCTGAAGAAGTCCTAAAGAAGCCTTATAATCCTCTGTGCACAGAGCAGAGGCAAGGGCTTCGTAAGCTTTGTTATATCTGTCCTGGGGTAAGCATTGTAGATCTCCCTACATCTGGAAGTAGTCCTGACATTCTCTGTCATTGATAGAACTCTTGCCCTTGCTGCAGCCACATCTTTCTCTTTGGATCCCTGCCTGCAGCTCATGGTGTCAGAACTGATTGAGACCACTGCTGGGAAAGGAGACAATAAATGAATGAATAAAGGAAGAGAAAGAGAGGGAAAGGGAGATATCTCCATAAGAAGACTAGAAGGAAGCTGTGGAGCAGCCCCCAGAACAGGAGAGGTGAACAGAGAGAGAGAGGGCACTGCAAGCTCTCAAACTGAAAAGGCCCAGCCCAAAGATGAAGGCAAAGGAGGACAGGAGAAGAGCTTGAAAAGAGAAAAAGAAAAATTAAACCTCGTGGTAGCCTCCCCCCCAAATACTTTAATCTTTATGTGGAGGGTTAACTGCTTAGCTGAGAGGGCACTTCCATTCCCACACCAAACCAATCACTTCCTTCCCACAAGGAATGTGATGCCACTTAGTTTGAAGTGTAGTAATTTATTTTATTTGGACACCTGTGCACTGTGTGGATGTAAGAAGCCAAGTCCCTGAGTTGCTGAGAAGGGCTTAGAACTGTGTAAATGCTATGCTGTACTGTTGCAATAGACTTTTCAAGTGAGGGTAAAATGCCAATCTCCTATCCTGTTTAGTTTCTCCACTAGAGTGAAGAGTGCCCCTTCCCTGCATTGATGATGGTGACTTGTGAATTTAGCAGAACTCTTTCAAGATCCACAACATCCTTCTCCAGGTTTACTTTACATGTTACTTGCAAATTCTTGCTCACACGAGTAGTTTTCTCTCGTGCAATCAGTCCCCATTGACTTGGGTAGGACTATTCATAAGTGTAAAAGGCTTTACAAGTTCTGAGTGTAACATTTTAACATCTTCAAATGAGGGACTATCATATGTGGGTGGAGAATCTGGCACACAATTTCCTGTGAAATAAATGGAGCATTTAAGAGGCCAGTAGTGGGTAGGTTTCACAACCCAGATGCTGTATTATGGGTACTTCAAGATTTAAAGATTTCTTCCTTTTAAATCCATAAACTTGAATAACTAAGAGTTATGGAACGAAAGAGATTTTATCTAAACACTGATAAATTAATTTGTCTCTGGCCAGCTGAACTATAGCTTTATTTTCTGAAATCTTTCTGATATCTTTACAATACTGGAGCAATTTCTGCCATTGACAGACATATAACCCTGAAATTCTTCTCAGGTCAGTCTATTCAGTATTTGATGTATTGTATTTCTTTGAGTCAAAAGCATTTGTATTTTATTTTCTGGAAAAATTGAAACAACTTCATAGTTTTGTAAAATAATTTCAAATTAAAATGACAATGTGCCTTTTCTCTCAAGGGAACTAGTTCCTTCTTCAATCCCATTAGTTAATTGGAAAACCCCTTTTGTCTTGCATGGAATATAGGTATTATGTAAAGCATTTTGTCAACATAATGGACTAACGTGTTTTTGTCTTATATTATAATGTCAGTATTTATACTTGCAACTGAATATAATACCAAATACTATACAAAATGTTCAGTGTTTGTGTTTTATTTCTTTTAAAGCTCTCCAAACTCCTTTTCAAACATTCTTAATTCCCCTTTTGTAGTAAGGAAGTGAAGTTAACTAGAACATGAATCATGATGATGCCTGAAACCCATGTGGGATTGGTTATGGGAGGCTGGGAGCAGGGGAGGGAGGCAGAGATTGATCAATAAAATACATTTTCTATTTGCATGCCTGTTTATTTTAGGATCCTTGAGGGGCAATTTAAAAAAATGAAAACAGCATGTCAGTTGAAGACATGTTTGCAGAGCTGAAACATATGGCTTCTTAGGCGCCTGTGGGAGGAGAAATAATGCTTGGCTCTTTTGATGTTAACGCCTATTATACCAAATGTGCATTTTACTGAGATGGCAAGGAGGCTGGGGGTGGGAAGGCCTGTCTTCTTCAGTACTGGAGACAAAAGAGTAGAGGTGCACAGATAGCCTCTCTAAGCCCTTCAGCTCTCCAAAAATGTGGAGCTTAGAACTTAGATTTATGATTGAAGCACTAGTTAATTTACATGGCTCCTTTACACTAGAGCCTTATTCACACTTCTGAGAATCAATGTAGGATAGTGCCCTTTTGACATTTTACAGATCTTTGTTTATAATGGATTCAATCCTGGCTCCTCCCATTTCTCAGATATGGCGAGATGTGGGCTAGTATTTTCTTCATCTGTCCCCAGCAGAGAATGCCTACCTGAAGCCTGAACCTGTTCACTAGGAAGGGATTGACTGGGACCAATGTGCTTTTGTAACCTACACACCTAAGCTATATCTACACTATAACCTCTTGCGCAAAAATATGCAAATGAGGCAAAGCGTGGACTATTGCCACATCTCATTTGCATAATTAATGAGGCTCCGTTTTTGTACAAGAGGCTACATGGCTCCTTTTTACGCAAAAAACCCCTCTTGCGCAAGAGCTATTCTTCCGCATTTTTTTCAGGAAGAAAGTCTCTTGTGCACAAGAGGGGTTTTGTGCAAAAACAGAGCCTCATTAATTATGCAAATGAGGCATGGCAATATTCCATGCTTTGCATCCTTTGCATATTTCTTGTGCCAAACGGGCGCAGTATAGACATAGCCCTAGTGTGGTTCAGCGTCCCATACAGTGGCACTTAGACCACTTACAACAACAGATAAAAACAAAAGACCTCTACAGGCTGGACAGAGAGCTGGTTTTATAGCTCAAGCTGTAGAGGTTCCTATACTAAGCTCCAGAGGTCCTAGGTTCAAATGCATCCGGTGGTGATTACATTTTGTCGCAATAAAACCTTAGGGTCAGATTGTAGGTTATCTTCTGTCACCCTTGCCCAATTTGAAATTGAGTAGGGATTACTCAATATGAGTAAATGCGGTGGCATTTATTCCATTGCTCTCATGCAAATCTGCATGCAAATCTGCTGTAACTGCACTGTATTCTATGAAATTAAGCTGAATTTCTATGGGTGTAACTACAGAAAATGTAGCCTCTGGCTGCTAGCTTCTGAAAGGGGAAGTTGATGGCTATGCCTGTCATTTAGTTTGCCCCATACTTCCCAATTTAATACCCTCTTTTCTGCAGCCTATACACTTTTTCACAGTTTAACCATCCCTATTGTTGAGCATGTGCCTTTTGCTATTTCTGGGAAAAGTGGCACCAATTTGGCTAAGCTATGTGTCTTTGAAAAATTCTACTTGGTACATTCTCCATAGAGATGTTAGAGCAGGGGTGTGCAAATGCTGGTCCGCAGGTTGGATCTGCTCCTCTAGAGTTAGCTCCTGGAAGGCCCCCACTGCTATGTTTACCTGCACAGCCATAGGTACCAGTGATCACAGCTCCCATTGGCTGTGGATCACTGTTCCTGGACAATGGGAACTGCAGGAAACAGCATCCCAGTCAGTGCCACTTCCCACTGCTGCCATTGGCCATGAACAGTGATCTGTGGACAACGGGAGCTGTAGGCCATGCAGGTTAATATAGTGGTGTCAGCTCCCGCTGCCATGTTATTGCCTACTCTTATGTTGGGTGCCAAAGTACCTATTGCTGCAATGTGTGATTAGCATATAAGATTTTGTCCATGTGTGATTAACAGCTACAGTGAAAAAGGAAAGAGTTCTTCTTCGAGTCTGTCTTTGTGGGTGCTCCCCATCTCAAAGAACTTCAATAACTGCAGAGAGTGAGCAACCCTCTCTTCTTCTAGGATGTCCCTGTGGGGGCTCCACCCTATCTATGGTGGAACACCTATAGGGACACCCATCTTGAAGAACTTCAATTACTGCAGAGGGTGAATAATCCTCTCTTCTTGCAGTCTGGAGATTTCCAGGGGCACATCATGCCACCAAGGGTTCAACTCAAGGTCCAGATCCAAAGAAGTCCTGGATTTTGGAAAAATCTACAGCAGCTGATTTTGCTACTTCTGGGAAGAGCCTTCTCTTTTTCTTTTTCTGCACATATCATTCCTATAGAATAGCTCATGGTGCCCATTACATAAAGATTTTGCTTCCACTGCTACATGAAAGGGAGGTCAGCCTAAAGAGATGTGACTGTTCAGGTTGTGTTTCACTGAAGTATGAATTCTAGGCACTTTTTCAAAACTATCTGCTTCTTTAGCTACCCAAATATTGAAAATCTGACCTTCGATGACTTGTCCAACATCACACAAGAAGTCTGAGGCAGATCAGGGACCTTAACCTCAGTAACTCAAAGGCTACAGTAAGTCCCAAACACTAGATCACCCTTCCTTGTCTACTCTGAAAGTAGTGGTCCTAAAGGGGAAGAAAAGAATCTAGTCTTTTCTCTTTTCACTACTGTGGGAGTGAGATCCTTTTCTGCTTTGGGAACCACTTCTGCTGTGAAAGAGATGGGCATGGATGTCTCTCCTTTTCTCTAGTTTGTTCACTCTAGCACAGAGTCAGGAGTTTTCCTTTGCTTTTGTCTTTGTTTCTTAGGTTAACTCAAGTTCTTTTAGATCCTCTTTTCCCAAGACCTGAAATGCCTGAGGAGGCAACATTTTCAGTTAGGACCAGCTGGAGGTAAGGAATCCTATGGAGAGGAAAGAGCTCCCAAGATGCTTAGCTGATATGTTCCAGCTGCTACAAAAACCTGATCAGGGAACAAGAACGGTGACTGGGCAGATTGAGAGCAGATTAGTTTGGAAATCCACATTACATGTGCTCTCAAGCTGCAGGGGGCTATGAAGTTCTTGGCTGTTTTATTATTTTCCTTGGTTAGTAAATGTTTAGGCATTTTACTTTTCAAGTAGCTGATCCCAGACGCATGTTGCTGAGACACCTGGCTTGTCTACATGGCCCTGAAATGTGCACTAAAGGGGTGTGAGTGTTGAGTTAACTGCTTCATGTAGACCCTTCTAGAACAGACTATAAATAGGACTACGTATGCAAATGAAGTGACTTTTAGTTTGTACTAGCATAGTCTATGAGGGGTAATTACAGTGTTACACTTCAGTGCACACTGCAGTTCACACTCTCGCAGTCCACACTGTGGGGCCATGTAGACAAGCTTATAATGCCTGGGGGAGAAGATTGCACCAGAAGAGCAGCTGTCATGCTGCTACTGGAGCTGGGTGACCAGCTACTAGAATAGGGTGGGGAACCTTTTTGGGTTTGTGGGGTCACAGACAAGTGAAAAGCAAAAAAAAAAAACAAAAAAAACAAAAAAAAAAAACCAAGCAAACCCAACAACAAAAAAACACCTCACTGACATGGCCCTCACAGCAGGGGCCCAGCCTGAGGTGTGGCAGTGGGGGGGCTGGAGCATCAGCATAGGCTCCACTGTGCTGGGGGGTCCTGAGCCTCAGGGGCCAGATCCAGGCAAGTCAGGGGCTGCATTAGGTTGCCCACCCTTGTACTAAAGTGACCATGTTCAGCAGCTGTCTGTCACCCCATCAGGGGAGATATAGTATCTGCAGTTGGAGAGGGTCAATCACTTGCGGGAGTGACGTTTTTGTTAAACTCAATCAGCGGCTGCATTTCTGAATGCTTAACAGAACCAAACCTTCTCATTTGCTGGATGAGATTTCAGCAGTATGTGGGAAGTGGCCCTGCTTGTCCTTCACAGAACACATCCACACGCTTTTGCTACCTCCCTGCTCAGAGGGGAAAATGGTGGTTAGTCTGAGACAGCTTCCATTATTGGCTCTGTCCTTTTCTGGAGACAGAGTTCTGTAAGGTCAGGTTAAGAAGGCAGCAGCATGCACTGTAAGGGTATGTCTACACACAATTTTTATTTCGGGAGGATGCAAATAGCGCTGTGCATTTTCATACTTCCTCCAGTTTTTGTTTCGGAAGACACTCTTCTGGTATTTATCTGTGTCTACACACAGCAGAATTTCGAAATTAAACCCCTATTTTGAAAGACCCCTTATTTATGCTACAATGAGGTTTACGGGGGTCTTTCAAAATAGGGGTTTATTTCAAAATTCGGCCAAATGTGACACGGGTAAATACCAGAAGAGTGTCTTCCGAAACTCCCCTGGAGGAAGTCTGCAAATGTGCAGTGCTATTTGCATCCTTCTCCCAAAATAAAAATTGTGTGTAGACATACCCTCATAGTTGCAGTGATACTTTTAAAATATTTTTAAAGTTTCAAATCAATGGCTGTTAGAAATTTGCAGCAAAAAATGGAGAGGCCTAAAATGTTGTATACAGCAAGGATTTCTGTCTGATCCCCAGTACTAGAACAATTAAGGTGGGTGGGGGTGGATGGGTTTGGCTCATGTGTGAAAAAGGGAAAGAAAAAACTTCAGTAAAACACATTTTGTCTTGTCAAGACTGTCCCATCAGCTGCAGCTTGAGCTTACTAGCGCATGTGCCTGCTGGAGAGAACATTCCCCCTCTACATTATGTCATGAAGAAGGTCAGACCTCATTAAGCTCAGGGAAAGAATGTGTCCATTCAGCAAGTCATTAGTAGTAATTGGTAATTCACAATAATTGGAATTAAATGTGTTTTATGCTAATTTACTTGACAACGTGTGCAGTACTACAAA